CTAATGAATAATGATTCATAAAACACATTCATGAACCTGAGCGCTCTTACTAATCCAAGTACCGAATCAACACTCAAGAGAATTATTTATCTACTTCTTTCTCAAGAAGGAATGGATTCCATCTCGTATAATAACATTCCCGGCTACCTATTTCATCATTTCTCCAAAATACAAGGAATAGGATTCAGGGTCTCAGAATCCATACCGAGTAAATCAAAAGACTCGGTAAATCAAAAGACATAATCTATAAATAGGAGTTTGTTAAGAACTCGGGATTAAGATCATTCTATATATGACCATCGGTAGACTCAATTAGAATTTCTATACTTAACGAAAATTATTAGAAATTCATATTGTGTCTGTGTTCCTGTTCCACACAATCTCATTATGCGAAATACACTCATTCAATATCTCACCATATTAACAGTACGGATAACACCGTTCCATTCTAAATGAGAATGACATGTATTAATAATGTTTTAATTAAAGATTCTAAACTTTAATTAAATTCATTATGAACAATGTTTTTGATTATTATCCTTAAACACTATCCTCTCGTATATAACACTTATATACTATGTTTAAGGTTACACAAATAATCACAGAATTTTCATTTGATATTCATAAAATATTCATAAATATATGCACATAAAATGATGAATAAACTCTTTTATTAATTAAATAATAAATATCCTATTACATCTTATGCTTCTAGGACACTATTCCCAACAATTATGTTAGTACGTGTAAATAATGGAACCGTGATAAGATTGTCATCGACAATGTATTTACATTTGAAATAGTGCTTGATATAATAAAAGAAAGCGAGGATCTTGAACCAAAGTCTGTCAAAAAGTATCGACATAGAAATAATTGGCCAAAATGGAAAAACGCTATACAAGCTGAATAAAATTTGCTTAATAACCGTAAAGTGTTTGGATCTATTGCCATCACGCTTGAAGTTGTGAAACTTATGAGATATAAATAGATTTTTATGAAGAGACATATCCTCTTGTGGATGATGCAATTATCTTACGTATGTGATTAGCCTGATTATCTTTGAAGGACTTGATATGCGTCTAATAAATGTGGTAACTACCACATATTTATGAGGATAACTAGAAAGTGACATATATATGAAATCCATGAAGGATCTAAGACACCTGGAGCATTTAATTTAATATCTCAGGAATTGTGTTCAACTAAACTACAAAGATTTTTATAAGGACTAAAGTAATTCGAATGTATGAGACATAATCATCTTAGCGTATATCTCTCAAAGGAAGGTTTTGTATACAATGCTATTTGTCTATGTATTTTTCATGAGATGATCAAAATCCGGATTTGCTAGCTATCATTGCCTTATGGAATATTTCATCCATTAAACAACTAATACAGAAAAGATCCTAGACCATTTTATATGAAAAAGGCGCATCATTGAGTTTCTCGATGATGGTGCAACCACTTGATGAGAAAAAGGATCCATTTCGTCCTTCAGATGGAAATGAAGAAGTCCTTTGTGCCGAAGTACCATATTTGAGTGAAATTGGAGCTCTTATGTATCTTGATAATTGTTCCCATCCAGATATAACTTTTGCTACTAATCTATTAACAAGATTTAGCTCATCTCCTACACGGAGACATTGGAACAGAATTAAACATGTATTATATTATCTTCAAGAAATATTTGATTTTGGTTTATTTTATCGTAAAGGATCAAAACAAGAGATGATAGGCTATGCATATGCAGGCTACTTGTTAGATCCATATAAAGCTAGATCTCAAATTGGATATGTGTTTACATGTGGAGAAATTGCTATCTATTAGCGCTCACAGAAGCAGACACTCGATGTCACTTCTTCAAATCATGCTAAAGTTATTGCACTCCATGAAGCAAATTGAGAATGTGTATGGCTGATGTCTATGACTCAACATATATAAGAAACTTGCAGACTATCTATCAGTAAAGATCCAACAGTATTATTTAAAGACAATGCAACATGTGTCGCTCAAATAAAAGAATGTTACGTCAAAAACGGCAGAATGAAACACATACCCCCGAAGTTCTTCTCATACTCCCAAGAACTCGAAAAGAATAAGGATATTGATATTCAATATATTCGATCAAGTGACAATACAATAGCTCTTTTCACAAAGGCACTTCCTACTACATTTAAAAATCATATCTACAGTAGCGGGATGCGTCATCTGCGAGATTTATGAGAAATGCCTATACATGTCAACTTAAGGGAGAATTTACGTGGCTTTACTCTTTTTTCCTTATTATGGTTTTATCCCACTGGGTTTTTCTAATAAGGTTTTTAACGAGGCAACATAAACACGTATAAATAAATGATGTACTCTTTTTCCCTTTATTATATTTTTTATCCGACTGGGCTTTTTCTAGTAAGGTTTTTAATGAGGCATCATGAATGGTGACATCTAAGAAGGGTGTTATGAATAGTATTTGTTCACCTCAGTCAAAGTTATATGTAAATCAATCAAAGTTACTATTCATCTCAGAATCTTACTATGCCAAATTTTTTTCTATAAATAGAACTCTAAGACTCTTTATTTTGTATATCTTCACAATATTAATGAAACTTTCTATCTAATTTCTCTTTCTAAAATTTTTTTTCTTAATTTTCATATTTTGATTATTATTTTTTTCTTGTCTAGGTTTCCCAAACAAACTTTAAATCTAATGACAAAAAGAAAAAATAAACAAAAAAAAAGGATTGCACTTTTGTAACTTTCTTCGATGGAAAGCGGAATGGCACCTACTGTAATTATAACATAAAAGAAGGGTATTCAGACAACTGATTGAAGAGGTAAAATGGAGTTGGAGCATACACTTGAAAGGCCGAACTCTATCTCTCTATACCAAGTACCCAACCAAGAAATCATAACAGAAAAACATTAAAAAAAAAAAAAAAAAAAAGCGCCATGGTCTTTGTGACAGGAAACTCTTTCTATGTACAGCCTTCTCTCTCATACCCACTTTCTCTCTCATCCTCCTCCAGGTCCGTTTTGTTCTACTCTTTTCCGAGAAATGCGGAGGCCAAGCGAAGCACTGTGGCAATGGCGTCCACCAGAGAAGAAGAAGATGAGTCCTCAATTGAAGGAAAAATGTCATGCCAAAGAAGGGCCTTTCTCTTTGTGGCTATTTCGGTTATTCCCTTCTTCAAACTGACGGCCAGAGCTCTTGATCCACCATTGTTAGCCATAAGAAAAAGGGCCAGAGCTCTTGACGGTTTCCCCACAACTAGTGAGTTTTTGATATTTTGTTTGGTTGGTTTCTCTTTTCATCATGAATTTTGTCTGCAAAGAAAAAGGACTTTGTGTTTGTCATTGTGGGTTTCTGGAAGAAAACTTTGCAATTTGCATTAGTATCAAGTTGTTGTTTTGAAGTCAGCTGTACTCTCTCTGATGGAGAACAAGACAATATGTTAGGAATTTAGAATACAGGATTAAAGATATTTTAGGGTTTGACTTATTTTAAGTTATTTATACTTATCTATTAAGATTATTTAGGATATATTAGAATTCAAATAACTAAAAATAATTCAAATCCTAAAATACTTAAAATCTTATGTTTTAAATTTTGCTTGATTTTGGGTAAATTATTTTTGATCTGGCTTTAAGTTTTGCTTTTGGTCAACTTATCTCAAAAAATTTGATGTATGTGAAAGGATATGTGCGTGTTTAGGCCGATTAGACCAATGTCATGAAATTCATTTGGGATGGTGGTAATGAAGTTTTAGGCTTGGAAGCGGACATTGAATAGAGATTTTGTGACAATATGAGAATGAGCATTAAAATAATAATAATAATAATAATACTAATAATAATAATAATAATAATTGTTGACGGTGATTTTCTGACAACGCGTGATCATCTCTCCGAGAACCCTCACAACGACACTCATGGATTGGTTAAGGATTGAAGCTTAACAATAATGTAAAGAAGACAGAGATTTATAGTGGTTCGGCAAGGATTCTTGGCCTAGTCTACTTGTGGATGCACTAATCTTTTAGAGATTACAAGTTTTTTTTTTTAATAATGTAATAGTGCGTACCCCCTTTTTTGGGTTTTCTTGGCTCTATTTATAGGCCTTTACATGTGATCATGCCTTTTCCGTTCCCAAGGAGGAAGCCATCTTCCGTCCTCGATTTGCGGGAGGGTAGGTGAGTTTTCATGATGACAACCTCAGGAAATGCGGCTGATCCCTCTCGTCTGCCGCCTGATTTCCTGACTCCTGCAGTAGCAGTTGGACCAGTACTCCCTTCCCCGAGTTGACAAGACCGTTGCTGGATTTGACTGGACTGCTTCCAGTCTGATCTAATTCCTGACTTCTCGACACAGAGGCTTCAAAGGGCTTTTAGTATACTTCTCGACTTCAACGACGCAAAGGCCTTAAGAGGACCTTAAGCACTTCTCGACTCCAACACCCTAACTCTAAGAGCGCTCCTCAACCTAGAGACATCTCCCTAACTGTTAGTTCTCGACGTCAGGGATTTGTCCTGACTTTCGGAGCTCTCGACGCGTACGATAAAAGTGGGTGGCTTGAATGGTCGACCATGGTGTAACAATTGCCCTCCAGCTTGGAATATTACGTCGTGATGTTTCAAGCTATGGCAAGTCGAGAAATCATTCATTAGTAAGCTTGGCAGTTACTTTTCCCAAACAACACCATCATTATTGTTGATTTCTCAGGTTGTTGAGCAGTAATGTCGATCACGTTAGCAGGTGGCAGTCGAGAGTTGAATTTCAACTATTGGATCAAGTTTCATTTCCTCATTGTTTTTCTGCATTAGCCCCGTAGAGACTGCCTTTCTTTTATACTTTCGCACTAGCTCGTGATGATACCTACATGAGAATGGTTAGAAATAGAAGAATACGAACTAAGAAACTTACCTTTTGTTGTTTGCGTATTGTTCTAAATGCTCGACGCCAACATTTCTTCTCTCCTCGACCGCCAACATAAGAGTCTCTCACCAGATACATGTAAGCCTCGACCTTCTTGGATTTCCTTCTGCAAGCTGACCTTCATGGTTTTCCCTTAGTACTCTCTACTCTAAGTAGGTCCTCCTATTCACTTTTGCAGGCTCTTATCCTCTCCCTCATCCTCGTTGACATAGTCAAGGTTGAGGGTCGGAGCAATGAGATGGACCGAATCGGGATAATCCTGATGGCTGTCCTCGACGCGGAAAAACTCACCTCAAAGACCAACGCAAGGGAGATGAATAAGGCCTTGTGGGAAGTATGAGACTTCTTGAGGAATTAGAGAAGGTCAAAGCGCAAGTGGAGGCTAACAGAAGTGAAAGAGGCTGAGGTCAAGTATCTGGACGAGGGAAGATTGAAGGGGGGCGAGGGAGGCGCTGGAGCTCTAGAGCGTCGAACATTAGAGAGCGTCCTGATCTGCCAAACAGTCGAATATTTTTTTTCTTCTTTTTTTTTTTTTTTTAGCCTCTCCTCTTTAGAGGCTCTATTAGCTATGCTTGTTAGCCTTTCGTCCTTAGAGGACTCGGCGTTGTAAGTTCTTTGAACTTGTTTTTGCTGTTGAACGTGGTCTGTAGATCCCTTCTTGCCCCCAATGCCAAATTAAAACCTTAGTTTTAGGCAAACATATTATGTTTGGGGTCGACCTCTCTGAGGATTTGAAGGATAAACGTAGAGAAGCTGATGTGGCATGAACAAACTTTTGAATCTTATTAGTTCCGAATTCTTGGAGTTGTTCATCGCGGATGAGTCCTTCAATTTCATCTCTCAAGTCCTTGCAGTCGTTGGTATTGAGTCGTATCGTTGGAACGGTTGAGGCCTTCCGTCGTTTTCTTGCCTTGGCTTCTTTGCTTCCGGTTGACTAAGAGTCGAAGCTTCAGGTTCATCCTCATTACCATTATCGCGACGCTTTTGGCCTTCTTGCTTCTTAGAGGTAGACCACTCCTCTATTTCTTGGCTCTTGTTCGATCAGCACTCAGGGTCATTGGCCTCGGCTCCTTCGTTGATAAATCCTTGAACCCTCACCAAGAACTCCTTATATGTCTGTGGTGGCCTTCGGTTGAGGTCTGTGCTGTATGGAATGTCCTTCCTCATGTTGGCCAAGGCTCCTATTAGTGCTACCTCGTCTGTGGCAGCCACTTGCTCTCCGAATCTCGCGATCCAATCCTTGAGACTCGTCTGGCCCCTGGTCGACCCTTGAAAGGTTCTGCTTCGACGGGATATACTTCTTGACTCCTATGAACTGAGTTAAGAAGACATTCTTTAAATCGCCCCAACTCGCTACAGAGTTAGGCTTTAAGGATCTGAACTATCTCCTAGCAGAATCAGAGAGATGATTCCTAAATGCTCGGCACATGATCTCCTCTGGATATCCGTGGAGAACCATATGTTCGGTGTAGACCTCCAAATGATCATCTGGATCACTCCTTACGTCGTATAGTGGGATCGGAGGCGGCTTGTACTTGTCGGGTAGAGGGACCCGAATGATGTTCTCCGTGAATGGGTGGTCGTGGGACGTATACATTTTGGCATCGACGTTTACTGTCTCGGCCACTTTTCCCACGATTTGCTCAAAGTTGTCCAATCGACTCGTTATTTGCTTTTCTAGTCTGGCAAGCTTCTCGGTCAGAGCTTTGTTCTCGGCCGCAAAGCCTTCCTCCTTGGTCGGCTGTACGCCTCGGTCACGTCGAGCGTTTAGCTTTTCCCTAGGGTCTCCTCCAATCACAGAAGAGGACTCCACTGAGACAGCGTCTCTCCTGTTCGCATCCCGCTGCAATCGAGGAGGCATTTCTCTGTTATTCACGGTCCGTGCTGCAGCCTTTTCCAGGGCCCTCCTCTTGCCCGCCCGTTGCCTGCTCCCCACAGACCTATTTGACTTCGCTGGACGGGAGTTGTTGGCTCCACTGTCACCGACCTCCTCGGTGTCACCGCGTCGGCCACTAATCACTTGGTTTCCAACGGCGGCGTTCACCGGGTTCATCGGCGCGTCCTGCAACAGCGGCACCGAGTTCTGTCCCTGTTCCCGTCCAGCGAGGGCTGTAGCCATCCTTTCAACGACTGCAGCAAGTGTCTCGACCTGCATTTGGAGCTGGTCAATCCGGTCTGGGGGGTTTTCAGCAGCCGGCAAGGGTGGGTTTGTCGGAGCCCTTCCTCCAATGGTGGGAGTCTGGCCTTCTTGGCTTTTTTGAGTTGCCGTCATGTTGCGGGTCTTTCTCGGAGCCATACTAACTGCTTACTGCTGGATTGATTTCTCGGAGGTCCCTGGCCCTCCTTAGAGGCGCTGGAGCTCTAGAGCGTCGAACATTAGAGAGCGTCCTGATATGCCAAACAGTCGAATATTTTTTTTCTTTCTTTTTTTTTTTAGCCTCTCCTCCTTAGAGGCTCTATTAGCTATGCTTGTTAGCCTTTCATCCTTAGAGGACTCGGCGTTGTAAGTTCTTTGAACTTGTTTTTGCTGTTGAACGTGGTCCGTAGATCCCTTCTTGCCCCTCATGCCAAATTAAAACCTTAGTTTTAGGCAAACATGTTATGTTTGGGGTCGACCTCTTTGAGGATTTGAAGGGTAAACGTAGATAAGCCGATGTGGCATGAACAAACTTTTGAATCTTATTAGTTCCGAATTCTTGGAGTCGTTCATCACGGATGAGTCCCTCAATTTCATCTTTCAAGTCCTTGCAGTCGTTGGTATTGAGTCGTATTGTTAGAACGGTTGAGGCCTTCCGTCGTTTTCTTGCCTTGGCTTCTTTGCTTCCGGCTGACTAAGAGTCGAAGCTTCAGGTTCATTCTCATTACCATTATCGCGACGCTTTTGGCCTTCTTGCTTCTCAGAGGTAGACCACTCCTCTATTTCTTGGCTCTTGTTCGATCAGCACTCAGGGTCATTGGCCTCGGCTGCTTCTTCGTTGATAAATCCTTGAGCCCTCACCAAGAACTCCTTATATGTCTGTGGTGGCCTCCGGTCGAGGTCTGTACTGTATGGGATATCCCTCCTCATGCTGGCCAAGGCTCCCATTAGTGCTACATCGTCTGTGATTCCCTCTGTGGCAGCCGCTTGCTCTCCGAATCTCGCGATCCAATCCTTGAGAGACTCGTCTGGCCCCTGGTAGACCCTTGAAAGGCTCTGCTTCGACGAGATATACTTCTTGACTCCTATGAACTGAGTTAAGAAGACATTCTTCAAATCGTCCCAACTCGCTACATAGTTAGGCTTTAAGGATCTGAACCATCTGCTAGCAAAATCAGAGAGATGATTCCTAAATGCTCGGCACATGATCTCCTCAGGATATCCGTGGAGAACCATATGTCCGGTGTAGACCTCCAAATGATCATCTGGATCACTCATTCCGTCATATAGTGGGATCGGAGGCGGCTTGTACTTGTCGGGTAGAGGGACCCGAATGATGTTCTCCGTGAATGGGTGGTCGTGGGACGTATACATTTTGGCATCAACGTTTACCACCTTGGCCACTTTTCCACGACTTGCTCAAAGTTGTCCAATCGACTCGTTATTTGCTTTTCTAGTCTGGCAAGCTTCTCGGCCAGAGCTTTGTTCTCGGCCGCAAGGCCTTCCTCCTTGGTCGGCTGTACGCCTCAGTCACGTCGAGCGTTCAACTTCTCCCTAGGGTCTCCTCCAATCACAGAAGAGGACTCCACTAGGACAGCGTCTCTCCTGTTCGCATCCCGCTGCGGTCAAAGAGGCACTTCTCTGTTATTCACGGTATGTGTTGCTGCCTTTTCCAGGGCCCTCCTCTTGCCCGCCCGTTGCTTGCTCCCCACAGACCTATTTGACTTGGCTGGACGGGGGTTGTTGGCTCCACTGTCACCGACCTCCTCGACGTCGGCCACCAATCACTTGGTTTCCAACGGCGGCGTTCACCGGGTTCATCGGCACGTCCTGCAGTAGCGGTATCGAGTTCTGCCCCTGTTCCCGTCCAGCGAGGGCTGTAGCCATCCTTTCAACGGCTGCAGCAAGTGTCTCGACCTGCATTTGGAGCTGGTCAATCCGGTCTAGGGGGTTTTCAGCAGCCGGCAAGGGTGGGTTTGTCGGAGCCCTTCCTCCGATGGTGGGAGTCTAGCCTTCTTGGCTTTTCTGAGTTGCCGTCATGCTGCGGGTCTTTCTCGGAGCCATACTAACTGCTTACTGCTGGATTGATTTCTCGGAGGTCCTTGGCCCGCTGCACCAATTGTTGACGGTGATTTTCCGACAACTCGTGATCATCTCTCCGAGAACCCTCACAACGACACTCACGGATTGGTTAAGGATTGAAGCTTAACAATAATGTCAAGAAGACAGAGATTTATAGTGGTTCGGCAAGGATTCTTGGTCTAGTCCACTTGTGGATGCACTAATCTTTCAGAGATTACCAGTTCTTTTCTAAATAATGTAATAGTGCGTACCCCCGTTTTTGGGTTTTCTTGGCTCTATTTATAGGCCTTTACATGTGATCATGCCTTCTCCGTTCCCAAGGAGGAAGCCATCTTCCGTCCTCGATTTGCGGGAGGGTATGTGAGTTTTCATGATGACAACCTCAGGAAATGCGGCTGATCCTTCTCATCTGCTACCTGATTTCCTGACTGTTGCAGTAGCAGTTGGACCAGTACTCCCTTCCCCGAGTTGACAAGACCGTTGCTGGATTTGACTGGACTGCTTCCGGTCTGATCTAATTCCTGACTCCTCGACACAGAGGCTTCAAAGGGCTTTTAGTATACTTCTCGACTTCAACGACACAAAGGCCTTAAGAGGACTTTAAGCACTTTTCGACTCCAACACCCTGACTCTAAGAGCGCTCCTCAACCTAGAGACATCTCCCTAACTGTTAGTTCTCGACGTCAGGGATTTGTTCTGACTTTCGGAGCTCTCGACGCGTACGACAAAAGTGGGTGGCTTGAATAGTCGACCATGGTGTAACAACAACAACAATAATAATAATAATAATAATAAATTATGGGGTTAAAGTAGGATTGCAAGAGGTTTGGAAGAATGTTGAGAATTCTGGTTTAAACAGTATAATTTCATTTCATGACCATCTTATTTATGCATTTAATTATCTTGTTTCAGAAGAAGCTGAGCCAAAGGTATCCGAGGAGAACCAAAAGGCAGAGGTCTGGATTCTCCTCTAGGTTCTCAAGAACTCCCAATCAGTAATTCCAGTTGTTTTTGTATGTTGTGTCTTAAAAGGGTGAAAAAAATCTTCTAAATTATGGACTCCTTTTGACGGCAGGACCCACAACCAAGGACTACAGCTCTTGAAGTCTTGCCCACAAGTAAGTCGAAATTCTTGCGCTTTAAAAAATTCTGAATTTGGTGAAAGGGGATTTATTGTTTGTCACTAGAATCAATGGCGAGTTTTTAGAAGTAGAGTTTATAACTTAAGACCATTTCAAGTTGTCAATGTAAGTAAATTATGTTCTCCCAATTTGTTGGTTTTCTTAATCTAATTTATTTTGACCTTTTATATTTTGCTATATCTTGCTCTCATCAGATGTAAAATGATATGATAATGGCTAATTATGCTTTGTTATGATAGGATAATTGAAGTGTTGTAAGAATGTTTAGGACTCGAGCTTGAACAGTTTTGTTTTACAATTATCTTATGCATATGTTTATTTTCTTTCAGAAGAAAGTGAAGTAAAGCCTTCGGAGGAGAGCCAAAATGCAGAGGTTTGGATCTCCACTAGGCTCACAATAAGTCCCAAGCAGTTATTCTGGTTGTTTTCATTTTTGTCTCTCTATGTTAAAACATATTCTAAAATGATTCACTTCTTTTGACTGCAGGAACTTCAAAAAGAGGCACCATCAAATGGATTTGTTTCTCTCCTAAGCAGTCTCGGCATATTCGGTTCTGGTGTGCTTGGTGCACTCTATGCGTTGGCTCAGAAAGAAAAAGCAGAAAGTGATGCAACAATAGAATCTGTAAGTCTCTATTGACTGTCACAAGCAAGGTCTTTTAGGACGAAAATATTCCTGAAACCTTTCATAGGATCTTGATCCACATTTAAAAGGAAAAATACGGAGTATTTGGAATATAAGAATGTGTTCTTTTTTCATTTTGGTAACCAAGACCGAATTCTTCTTCCATTATCTTTCTGTTCTCTTGATATTTTGACTTCTGAGTTTAAGAAATGTTATTTTCATTCTCTTAATATATTCTTTTTTATACTTAATTGGATTTTAACCCATGTTACGGTAAAAAATGCACAGATGAAGGCCAAAGTGAAAGAGAAGGAAGCTGCCATTGTCTCGTTAGAGAACAACTTCCAATCAAAGCTTCTCAGTGAACAAGAAGAGAGAACCAAACAACTTGGAAAGGCAAAGGAAGAGCAGCTATCTCTGTTAAACAAACTAAATTCGGCAAACAGTACGATTGCAGGCTTAGGGCAGGAGATAAAGAGTGAGAAGAGATTGATAGAGCAGCGTAAAGTTCAAATCAACAGTCTCGAAATTGAACTTTCAAAGGCTGCGGCAGATAAGAAGACCCTTGAACAAAATCTGAAGGAAAACCTGGACCTGATTGAAGTCCTAGAAGAAAGGATAAATTCACTCAACTTAGAGCTGAAGGATAGAGAAGTCAATGTGCAGAATCTCAGATCCTCTCTTGCTGATAAGGACTTGGAGTTGCAGAACTTGGAAACTGCCAACAAGCAAATAAATGATGAACTGGCTAATGCAGGTTCAGAAATCCAAGAGTTGAAGGATGAGCTCTCGAAAAATCAAAAGGAAATAGAGTTAAAGAACTCTGTAGTTGAGGAACTAAATGCAACTGTAAGTTCTTTAAGCATTGAGAAGGATAGTTTCAAGGGGAAATTGGATAACATTCAGAGGGAATACAATGATTTAAAATTGGCCTCCCAAAAAAAGGCAGCTTCAGATGCTGAGATTTTGGGAGAAAAAGAGGAGGAGCTTCATCGGTTAAAGGAAAATCTCGAAATTGCTTTTGGTGAGGCTTGTGAAAGCCAGGAAGTAATTGCTAAGTTGACCCAAGAGAGGGAAAATTTGAGGGAAGTTCTCAATGCAGAATCAAACAAGGTAAGTAATCTGAACCACGAGCTTCATATTGCACAAGAAAGTCTTGGGAAATCGAGAGATGAGGCCTTGGATCTTGAGAACCAATTAATTACATCGAATAGGACATGCAAAGAACTCGAGGCTGAGGTTTCTAGAGTTCAGGCAGAGTTTGCTGAAGTTAAGGCTACATTGCAAAGGAGTCTTGATGAGGCTAAATCAAGTGGTGAAGTGTTAGCTAGTGAGCTAAATGCAGTGAAGGAAATTCTGAAGAATACAAAAGAGGAACTTCAAAATGTGTTGAGCGAGCTAGCTGCTGTCGTTGAAAACTGGGATAGCCTGAAGCGAGAATTGGTTGACGTCTACAAGAAGGCTGAAACTGCAGCAAATGATTTAAAGGAAGAGCAGAAGACTGTCTCCACTTTGAACAAAGAAATACAAGCCCTGGAGAAGCAACTGGTGAAGGATAAGGAGGCCAGAAAATCTCTCGAAACAGACCTTGAAGAGGCTACTAGATCCCTTGATGAGATGAACCGAAATGCGTTGACACTCTCTAGAGATTTAGAGCAGGCTAATTTCCGGATTTCGGAACTCGAGGATGAGAAGCAGGTGCTCTATCAGTCTCTAACTGAGCAAAAGAACTTGTCGAGAGAGGCCAGAGAAAACATGGAAGACGCACATGACCTTGTCATGAGACTCGGCAAGGAAAGGGAGACTTTGGACAAGAGAGCAAAGAAACTTGAAGAAGAATTGTCTTCAGCCAAGGGTGAAATATTGCGGTTAAGGAGCCAGATAAATTCATCAAAAGCTGCCATAAATAACGAGAAGCCACAAAAAGCTGAAGCTGAAGGCAATGTCACAGCTTCTGTGAAGAGAGTTAGTAGAAGGAGACGAACTAGTTCACAATAAAGTAAGTCAGATATCCAGCTCTGCTAAATCATCTTTTGAAGCCAGTTGTTTTTCTCAAGGATTTCTTTTTTATGGCCTTTGGATTTTTTCCCAATAAGAGTGCAATGTATAGTGAAAGAATTCTGTTGTATTTCATAATAGACACACGTTTTTGTATATTTTCAGTGCTCTTATCAATTCCATGACTTGATAACGTAGGTTCAATCACTTCCTTATAGTTGGTTTTCGGCACACGACATGAACAGTAAAAATATGTAACTAATAATCAGATGATTGCCTCTAAGCAGTTTTCATTTTGCTCTGTTTCCCTCCATAGTCTCGTTTATAGGAAAAATAGTTGGCCCCTTTGGTTCATAGATTTAAACAAAAATTTAAATTGTGAGAGAAAACACTATAGCAAAAAACAAGCACCCCGAGTAAAATACATCGTGAAAGCAAAAGTAAATCTACAATAAATGAACCTTTTTTTTTCCTCCATTTGAAAGAGGCCTTGTGATAAGCTCCAGAATCGATTGTCACAGAAAGATGGCAAATTAGAAGAGAATTTGTATTACTGGAATTAAGAATCAACAATGGCAACAGAAAAGAGTAAAGAATGGTTTGGGGATTTTCAAGAGATCCTGTGCTCTCCTAACAAACTTCCAACGAAGAATAACAAACTGCAATAATACTCTACTAGCCTACCTCTATCTTATTTATACTCCTACCTATATTCCTTTTTACAGACTCCGGCCTAACTAACTTCCCGTCCCTTAACTACTTTGCTGGCCTATTACTTGACCATCTTGCAGACTCAGCTTTTCCCCCCTGCCCCTTCTCCTTCGAGCATATGTGAACTGCACAGGAGGCTTATCATTACCTCCGCCCCAAAAACGCACCTTGTCCTCAAGGTGTTGATTATGTAATTGCACTTGAATGATGCCATCTTCCCATTTCAATGCACGTGAACTTTGGAACGTCAAAGGTAGCAGCAACTTTCAAAGAACCCAACTCAGTGCTAATTAACCCAACCACTGAATTGAGAGATAATTCCACCATTTCTTCTTCTTCGGCAGCCTCAATCTTCTCTACCTCTACTTCACCTTGTTCCTCTTCTTCGCGGACAATCAAAACCTGCAACTCCCGATTCGGACAACGATGGCCAACGTAATATTTCCCATCGCATCGGTAACACAGCCCCTTCTCCCTCTTAGCTTGTAGCTCAGCGTCAATCATTCGCCTAAATGGTGCTGCTCCCGTGTCCTGGTTAATCGCCTTCCTTTTATCCAGAATTTTCCCTTTTTCAGTCGGTGCTTCATAAAAACGCAGACCACTTCCAGAATTAGTAGTCGTTTGGCCTCCTTTAGTTTCATTAAACCCACTGCCTTTTCCCAAAATTGATTACGGTGGGCCTTGGGCTTTGGGCCGCATACCATGAGATTTCGCTCTTCCACCCTCTGGGCTACTTCCATAATTCGCCCTAGCCAAATAGGTTTCATCAACCTTATCTCTGCCCGTACCTCAGGCTTCAACCTATTAACAAAAGAGCTCTCCAGAACCTGCTCGGAGACATCCCTCAACGGCGCTGCCAAGACCTCGAATTGCCTCCGGTATTTCCTTACCGAAGACTCTTGTCGTAGCGATAGCAACTTCTCGCACAAGCTGCCTTCCTACGTTGGTCGGAAACGCTCGAGAATCATCACCTTCAATTCCGCCCAATTCCGAATCATCTGCCGGCCATCCTCCCCTTGAAACCACGCTAAGGCTTCTCCATCGAGACTGACAATTGCAACTTCCAACTTTTCATTCTCCGACAAGCCGTTCATCGTGAAGTACCTTTCAACCCTAAAGACCCAGCCATCGGGGTTTTCGCCGTCAAACGTCGGCATCTCCACTCGCCTGGTCTGACAGTCCACGCGCGTTCCAGATTCACGCGGATGCCTGGCTCTCTCGCTCGTCTCTTCCCCCGGCGTTGTCTGCCTCGCCCGCGCTTCCACTCCGGCCGTCTAGGAATTCTGCCGTTCTTGGCGCTGTAGATTCATCAATTCCTCCATTCTTGCCAGCAACAAGTCCATACCTTGCTCCAGCCGAGGAATCTTCTTCAATTCCTCTCGCACCTCCTCCAATTCCCTTGCGAACGCCTCTCTCGTTCCCTCCGTCTTCTCCTTCTCGCGATCATCGGTACGTCTTGTCATTCCAGGAAAGTGCTCTGATACCAATTGATAAGCTCCAGAATCGATTGTCACAGAAAGATGGCAAATTGGAAGAGAATTTGTATTACTGGAATCAAGAATCAACAATGGCGACAAAAAAGAGTAAAGAATGGTATGGGAATTTTCAAGAGATCCCGTGCTCTCCTAACAAACTTCCTACGAAGAATAACAAACTGCAATAATACTCTACTAGCCTACCTCTATCTTATTTATACTCCTACCTATATTCCCCTTTACAGACTCCAGCCTAACTAACTTCCCGTCCCTTAACTACTTTGATGGCCTATTACTTGACCATCTTGCAGACTCAGCTTTTCCCCCTTGCCCCTTCTCCTTCGAGCATATGTGAACCGCACAGGAGGCTTATCACCTTGTTAAAAAGAGGCCTTGTTAAAATCTTGTTCAGATCAAGTCCCTTGGGGATAAAACTCTCAATATCGAAAAAGCGTGCATAAGTCTAAACTATGAGATCTCTCTCTTGCCGCACTTAGTATTGACTGACATATTCTTCAAATGCTCCCGCTGATCCTCCGTGATTCCACCAAGCTCAGTACTCGTGAAGAAGTTGATGGCAAATTGTATGTTCTTCGGATCCTCTGTTGGAAATATCGAGTCCTGCAATGAGGGATCTATGAGCCAATCCTTTAACAAGCAGATTCCAAGATGCTCCGATAACACCTGCACCAAAAGCAATAACAAAGTAATGCTACTGCTCCACAACTCCATTGAAAAGAATATAGTCTCATTTCATGTGTAAAGCCATTTTAATACACGTAGTAGACTCCAAAACAAGGGGATGGATGGTTGCAAGGCAAACACTAACTAAAACAAAAGGCCAGCCGCATTAGAAACGAACAGAAAACAAGATGAATGATGAATGATATATGTACCTGAAAGAGAATCTAGATAAAGATTCGAGAAGATGAGGTGGTGTCCTCTTCAGTTAAGCGTACAAAGGATAAAACATGCTAAGGCAGAGCATCCATGCTAAGTAAGTCTGCGAAGAAGTTCACAACATTGCGTAGTTTAGTTTTTCGAGCCAGCGAGCCATTGAATATTGATGGACGAAGCACTTTACTTTGTTCATCTTGCAGAATTGCTGCCCCAAAAGACCATACATTCTGTTATAGGTTCTCTCTTGGCTGCAACATTCCACAACCATGATGCACAACTCCATCTACATAAAGAATAAATAAATAAAAAGGGTTAGCCAAAACATGTAATAACATTCTCTATAACACAAAAATTTAAAAGTTGAACAAATTTTTAGAAAAATAAACGGACAGAATATTGATGACTCACCTCTTGACCTAACTTCAATCCAATCTGTAGTAGCTTATGACCAGCCTCCTGAAAGTTTGCACTTGACATAATTGTCAGATAAATTGTCCTTTGAAGTTCCACAAGATTAGTCCCCGTTTCGTCTTCTATTCTCATTCTCTCATTTTCCTCTTCTTCAGACTCGTTATCACCATCTTCATCATCTGAAGCTTCACTAGAAGCTTCTTCATCCTCGGAAGCCTCTCCAAGTATGATTTTCTTTTTTTCTTCATAAGACTTCTCATTCTCAAGGAAGTTAGGGTATGGTTTGAATATATCTTAGGACAGGAAAACAGGCAATTGCTATAGGAAGAAGCAAAGGATTAGCCATAAAACTATGCAATAGGTAAGTCAATCAAGACGCTGTGTTCATGACAAGTTGTTGCTGAAAGACATACCAATTGCGGTGTCTGCATCCATGGTGTCTTCAAGGGAGATCCCATGTGGCCACTGATGTTCTTCCTTAACAAGGTCCAGTTCAGGACGAACAGCAGGGTAACCCTATAAATGCACATCAGAGAGCACATTGATCAGTTTTAAATAGGAAATTCTCATTTAGTTACATAATGTAAAACATAATGAGGACATTTGTTAGACTTTACCTTAAACTTTTCTTTCCTAATAGCAAATAATCCTTTAATCAAAAAGTGAACCCTTTTGTCTGTTTCTCCTTCATGAAGAATTCCACGGAACCGCTCAAAGACGCCTATAAGCACAAAAAAAAAACGTATGAAAACAACAACAAAAGAAAAAAAAATAAAAAATAAAAAAATCGAAAGCAAACCTTGCATTGATTTAGGTGAAATGTCTTGCAATAGAGATCCACACTCGGTCACAAAGCGAACAGCAGCTTCAACACTGTCGTCGGTGGGTTCTCCAGCAGAACCGTCAGCAATTCCAAAGCCACAATTTCATGGGCCACTCGCTGATTTACTAAATGTGCTATGAATTTAATAGTAGCTAGCAACCGGGGCTGGATACAAACCAAAACATATCTAAATTAAAATAAAAATATATATAAAGTATCATATATGCAAAAAAGTGATCAAATAAGAAAAGAAAAAAAAGGGGGGGGGGGGGGGGGGGGGGACCCCATTATCGCTCTGGGTTTATCTGGCCTTAGGAACCACCTTGTCATTGAGCTTCTCAAGATAATCCTTGTTAACAAAAGACGGCTAACCTCAGGAAACTTGGTGTGAATAACCGCAACCAGAGCAGCAAAGACATCTGTAAATACCGGAGAAGCCATCTGTGATTTCATCAATGACCGGCAAAGAAGACCTTTACCACGTACCAAATTCTCCGATATCAGCTCCCTAACAATATTCCTTATATTAGAAGCATTTAACTTATTCACCATACCATTTATGCTCTTCTGGAGAGCATCCCATGTTAGTCTATGGAAATCAACACTGCTTTTGTTATCTTGGACTTGTTTCGTCATCCGCACTAACTTAAATGGAGGAACATAAACTTCTGCCATCCTCTCGTTGTCATCAGCACCAGCTTCCCTCTCCCTCTTCTACGTCATACAGGCGCTTAAAAGCAACAACCCCCCCCCCCCCAAAAAAAAACAGAGAGAGAGAGAGAGAGATCGTGGAAGCGGGAGATCGCCGGGGAGGGGTGGGAATGGGTCGCGATGAGGGAGATTTCCGGAGTCGGGGGTGTAAGCGTTGCCTAATAAGCCACAACTTTTGAAGGAAAAAAAGGGGAAAA